ACAGCCCAGCTGGCACCACTGCAGTGGACCCTGAGGCCAGGGCTGGGCACACCAGGTGACACAGCCCAGCTGGCACCACTGCAGTGGACCCTGGGGCCAGGGCTGGGCACACCAGGGCTTTGCTGTCGCACCCCTTTGCTGCCCTCCTGCTCAGCCAGGGTTGCTCAGTGATCACACAGAAATAAGCATGTCTTAAGTCATCTCCATCCCCTGTTGTCAATCTCTACTGAGTTAGTGCAAACTAATCACATCACACAATCACAGAGCACTCTGAGCTGGAAGAGACTCACAGGGACCATGGAGTCCAACTCTGAATGGCTCATATGAGAATCAAACCCACAACTTCGGTGTTATTAGCACCATGCTCTGACCAAATGAGCCAATCTCAGATGACCTGGCCTTCATTTTCCTTTTGGGAGGCAGAAGGCTCCTGGTGAATGTCACAGACATCCCTTGTCTTCATGCTGAGCTGCTCTGTTGAGCTGCTGTCACACGCACCCGTGTGCGGCGCAGCCGAAGCACCACAGCTGGGAGGAAATTGCAGACAATAAAATTCCTCTGGCCCAGCCAGTCATTGTGATATATGAAAGAATTGTGTTAATTTATATAAAGTGGCTTTTGCTAAGGCTGTTTCTACTTGAATTTGATTTTGAAAAGAAGGAATTATTCTCCCTCCTTAATGCAGACTTTGTAATGCTTATTGTATTCTTCGTTCAGGTCACTCGGTACCTGAAGCATCCCACTGCTTTTCTCCTGCAGATAAAATGGTGCCTTTTGTTTCCCTTTGTTCAGGCTTGACCTCTCCTCTTGCCCTGCCATCCACATCTCTATGATGTCTCAATTTTTGTGGGCTTAACCAGTGCATGAGGAAGCCTTTGTGGAGGATTTAAAGGAGACCATCTTGTAGGTCCTGACATTCCCCCTTCTAGTTTCAGCCCCTGGCCTCTCCCAACTCCAGCAGGATCCTTACCCAGTGTCCCAGTTCAGTGTGATTCATCTTCCTTCCAGCAAATTTGCCATGGTAGGCTCCTAATCCTCTGGTTGGGGAACTTGCAATTCCCAGAGGGCACAGGACTCATGCTAGCTTTCCTGGCCAGCTGACGTGCTCTCCTGTTTGCTACTCAATGCCTGAGCTGGAAAAATCTAACAAATCTTTTACAACTAATAAGGCACTGCTACCCTCACCTGCTTTTCTCCCAGTACTTCTTTTGTGTCTTCCCTTACTTATAAACCTGACACCTCATTTTCTTTCTCATCATTCTTCTCATGCTTGTCACTTGCCCATTTTAAGACTTTCCTGCACCTGGTAGATCTGGTAAATGAGAATAGGACTGATAATGATTAGATAAATTTCTGTGTGAAGACAGGGTTAGAAGGTCAAGATTAACTAGTTCTGAAGAAAACTAGTCTGAGTTGATGTATAAATCAGAATTTCAGGTCAAATTCCTTCCTATTTGCTGCTTTAAAAAATAAAAGGGCATGGAAATATTCAATTGACAACAGAAAACAACAATTCAAAAACTAGTAAGTTTTTAAACATATATCATGAGTGCCTGGAACTTGCTACTTTTTGTCTATCAACATATAGTAATGTTCATGGGAAAAGGTATTTATTTATGTGGCTCATAAGAATTCATACAATTAGAGAAGATTTACTTAATAGAAGAAATTTGTAAGACGTATGCTTAAAGTATTCTTAGAGTGTGTGTTCTCTGAAATAACCCCCCTGACTTCAGAGCACACAGCAGCCACTAAGAGGAGAGAGTTTGTTACAAATCCACAGCAGGCAGCAGCTCCCCAGCAGCCAGCTGAGTTTCCTGCTCAGGAAAGATTTCAGGAGCATTTTAGACAGTCTGGTTGCACATGGTTGCTTACAGGATGGGTCAAGTGGCATCTCTGTTTCAGAAAAGTTTGATGAGATCTCTTCATGAGAACACACAGTTAGATGGACTTTAGTTTTCTACAATATTCAAATACAAATATAAATACACAGAATATGGCTCTGAAGGAGTTTGTGCTCTTGGCATTCCCAGGGCACAGCACAGAGCCCTTCTGCATGGGAGACATCATACCTGGTAGACCTCCACTGACCACACACCTTAAAACATCTCTCTCCCTGATATATATGCACATGTATATGAATATACATGCACCTTAACAAGCCTTTTTCCTATTGCCTTTTTTTGAATATTAAAGACCAATATTTTTGTCATTATTTTGCTTTTCATTACTTTTTAAAGCCAATGTTAAGTAACAAATTAGACTCAAAACCAACCACAAAGAGCTGTCTCAGGCTGAGGTATTTGAAAACAACCACAACTATGGCAGCAATAGTATTGGTATTGGCAATAGAGTTATAAAACCAAGCTCATCTCCAGAAGGCTCTATATACTGAATGATCTAAGACTTGTACATCTTTTGTCATGCAGCAAAACACCAGCATAACTCACTTAGCACAGACAGGCTAGGGTAGAAAGTGTGAGTCAGTCCCCAAAAGTTGAAATGCTCTCTCATCAGCTGCAGCAAACAGCTGCTGGTGGCTGTGATTTGTGGCCCTGCCACTCCCTGGGTGACACACCAGGACATGCCCTGGCAGGGACATCCCACCTGAGGCCAGTGAAGGTACCCACAGGCACAGCTGAGGTGGAGGGCTCTGAAGTCACCCTGCAGGACTGCTGGTTAGCAGTGCTGCTGCTCCACAGCCTGAGCTTTGTCCCCCTTGCAGCAGTACAGCCAGCCTGGGGTTTGGCTGTGCACACATCCACATCAATAATGCTGGAGGAAGAGGTATTACTGTAAGTCTTTGATAAATAGCTACAGCAAATAAGGGGCAGATAAGATGCTGTAATAAAAAGACAAATAGGTTACATGAGATAAGCTAGGAAGAAAACAAGTTAGATAGCTTTATAAATCACATCAAGGAGTTATGAGACATACAAGTTTGATCTTTGCTAGAGAGGCTAATGGGGAAGTATGAGCAGTATCTACAGACAGAAGAGCTGGATACTGGTAAATGAGAGATGTTTACAGGCTTACAGGAAACTATTACCCTTCTATCATTACACTATTTAGATCTGGCAGCTTAGGTAGATTGGAACTCAAATCTATCCTGCTTTCATCTATGACTTTAGCTAAAAGAAAGCAAAAATGTTCACAAAGGCTTCGAGGTCTCTGCAGAAACTGCAAGTGATGTCAGTAGTCCTGGGAGCAGATCCAGTATTTTCTTTGCCTTTGCTGTTGAAGTTCCATGTGCTCCTTGGTCCCTCTCAGCCTGGGATCACACCTCACACCATTAGGAAGCAGGGTCAGGGATTTCATCCAGTGCCAAGCTAAAGGATGTACTGGACAGCTCCATTCATATGGCAGCAGAGTAGAAATCTTAGTAGGATCCTTTTTTGTAGGTATGTGGGGGCAGGTGAGCCATGAGCCAAGTGGGGGTGTTGTCAGATTTCTGAAGGTCCCTCTGGAGCTGATGTGCTTCATCCCTTTTTATAATCTCCTTGAGCTAAATGACACATTGATATACTGTCTAGGATAAATAGTGCTTTCCAGACATTACCAGACAGTGGGGACTTTTTCAATGATCCTTTGTCACCGTTTAAGATCAAAAAGGTTTGTAACCAGTGAAATGGGAGGAAGAAAAAGCTTCTTGATATTGCAGTGAGTGTTTAAGTATCCTATTGTTTAGTTAACATGTTTTGACAGATTTGGTTTCAAGATGCATAAAAGTGTAAAAAACCACTGTTATATAACCCTCATCAGTCAAGGACTGAAATTTAGATTTACTTCTTACTGAATAGAGCTACTGTGTTCTACCATGGAGCTAGTGAAAATGCATAGCCATAACAGTGCTTGGATTTAAAACACAATATACCAGGTGGACTTGCATGGAGTGATCAGAATACTAAGTGTCACTGGTGGTTTGCAATGAGCCTCAGAGATTATTTGTTTGAGGAAGAAAGATGAGCAGGCTTGCTGTAAAAGTGTGAGGAATCTCTGATTGGGGTACACATGGTAGACAGGCCAAACATCTTTCACTATGATGAAGTGGTATCACACACTGAAGTTGGATTGCTTGTTCTGGTGATGCTGTTGCTCCCTGTGTGCCATGGCAAGTTAATCTGGTTCAGCAGTAGCTAGGGGATGAATTTTGGCATTTGGAGTATGTTTTATCACCTGTTCCCCTTCTCTGATTTCTCTGTTTGAAGTAGGGTTTGTGTGTGAGAACAGTCCCTCTGAGCTTTGATGTGCTTCAGGCTTTGCCCCAATGTCACTGTAATCTCTACCACTCAGACCAGAATGTTTTAAAACAGAGCACGGCACAATCTTCACCAGTTTTGAGCTGGATTTGTACTGCTGTTTGATTTTCCACATTCTGCAGGTTTCCACATGACCTGTACCTAGTAGCAGCTGTTTTAGGGCTTCAGAGGGGAGTCTCAGGGGACCCTGCTGATGACTGAAACTCCAGCTTCTGATCTGGTCCTTGCCTTGCTCCCAGCAAAACAAAGGTGATGTGCAAGCATGCCATGTAAACATGGCACTTGCAAAGGAATTCATCATTTTGAGCCTTTCCCATGCAGTACAGACTTCCTAGCCTACGATGAGGAGAAAGAACAGCACAGTGCTAAACAATAATGTTTGTAAAATGGCAGGTTTTGGCCAACCAGGCTTCCCAGTGCTGTCCCTCCTTGCTGGCAGCAGTATCTTCTGGAAGGTTGGCCAGCCTTGGCTGCAGGGAATGCCTCTGGAATACACACTTGGCAGAAAACCCTCCTGGGAAAAGCAGGCACAGGCACTGATTTGGATGGAGTTTCACTTGTTTACACTTGAACTGAGCTCGATCCCCAACTCTGCAGTAGTATTTAGATTTCTGGTGCTTTGCTGCATTTGCCATTGGCTCAGGCCACCTACACACAGAGGCAATGCTGCAGCTCCTCAGGGCTTACAGCAATCTTGTTAGTTAGGGTTTTGTACAGGGCTTGCCTTTTTTCCCCCAAAATGTACTTAAACAAGTAGTAGCACTATGCTCTGCTTTTTTATTGAGCCAGTAGCAAAGGAACTAAGCACAACAAGAACAGCAGGAGAAATACAGCAAAGATGTGGGGATTAAACAACAGGCATCTTCTCATTTTACCAGCAAAGCTTTTACTGAAATATCTTTACAGAAAGAATTTGAATGGTTCTGACTCTACACAGAGTGACATTAAAAATAAATGCAAAATTTTAAGCATTGTAAAATCTCTGTTCCTGGACTACTTCAGCTCTCTGGCAATAGGCAAGAATATACATTTTCTCTTGTTTGCAAGGTTGTTGCAGTGGTTTGGGTAAAAGGGGAATGATCCTGATGGATGGAGACAGGATTGCCACTGGTGTGTTGTAAGTCCT